ATTTTGTTAATAGAACAATTTTTATGTGATGGAAGCTAAAAGTGTCGAAGTTTGGTGATTAAATTGGAAATTTTTGAAGGTTACTGATGATGTCAATTAGATGATTATATTGGAATTTATATTTTATTACTCAATATTGAGTTGTTCAATTTTAAAAATTCCCTAAAATCATCCAGAAAAGTAACTTGAAAATTCCAACAATCGCCGATTCCTACAGAGCATTAAACACAAAATTTTTTGACATGATCTCTAAATTATTTAGACAAAATTTTCCTCTAGTTTGATGCTCAACTTTGGCACTTGTGAGACTTTTTCAAAATAGTAAGCCATAAAAATCTTTAGATGCTCAATTCACATGTCAATCATAATTTTCTTTTGATTCGCCTTCTTCTTTCAATAATAAAAATAATGCTCAATTTATGCTCAATTACCAATTAACGGAAACCACAAATGCAATTCAATTGATGAAAAAGGGGAAAGAGGAATGAGCAGCAAATTCAGACAATAGAAAATGATTTCATCCTTTTAAATTTGATTGATTTGAATGCCTTTAACTGCTATTCATGGTTCGATTAACTTTGAACATGCTAGTCTTTATGCTACTTTTAGACGACTATGTGAGAACTTGTATAATTTATGCAAAAAGAAAGAACTTATGTAATTAATACATATAAAACATACTGAAAGGACTGTCTTTACTTCTATCTATTTACTTGCTTTTTTCTTTTAGAAATTTCATCAATGACTTTTTAACAATACTAATTTTTAAAGGATTGTAGATGTAGGATGATGGATTAGAATGTCGATTGATTTATGTCGCCTTGTAATGAATCTCGTCATTTACCGCAAATCACAAAGTACCTCAGGAACAACTCAAATATTTATAATAGCCAAAAATTACACAATTTTTTACAAGTACAAATTTTACAATAGACTAAAAATTCGTTCATTAGGACTGCTGTTGAGTAAAATTGATTAAATCTTTCAAACTTGTTGGATTCTTACGATTCAATGATTTCTTATAAAAATAACGCTTTATTGCTCGTAACTAATGATCTAGTGATGACTCTTTCTTGATAATGTCTAAATTCTCAATTTGCGGACTTCTTTAAGTTGATGAATTTTGAAATAAATTGCTAAGAAAGAAGCAAAGCTCATTATTAAGTTACCTAGAAATACGCAAAAATAATGTTTTGTTGAATCCTGCAATCGATTTATAAAATGCTTAATTGTAAAGACTTGATCCAATGTTATTGATGATTAAATCAATGTTTCAACATTCGTATGTGTGTTCAACAATGCAAAGTTTTTAATGACGATTGAAATGATCTTAAGAAGTTTTAGTATCAGCTGCAAAAAGCTTAGCACTTTTATAAAGCTGCTGTTGCTTTCATTGGTACTTCATAAACATTTTTGATCATTTCCACAAGTTGTTAAAAGTAAATCTCAAAACATAACATAGAATCTGCTAAAATCAGTCCTAATGAACACTCCACAAAACATTAGAATAATTAATCAATTAAATGGCTGGATTCAAGCTTCAGGGCAACAAAATCTCGACACATTCAACAAACTATTACTCAATCTAAACATTTAATTTTAACAATTTTCCAAAAATGCTTAATTAACAAGATTAACACAATTAACCAATGCTTCTCTAACTTCCTAGACTTATTAAACAGCGTTTTGGAGCATAGTTTGATTAGCATTGCACTATCCTTTCTTCTAAACTAAGAATTAAGATGAAAATGAATTGACATTGACGTGAATTCCCAAAAAATAGACAAAACTAGAATAACAAATTCCCTTTCTGATGAAATTTTTAAAATTAAAAACAAAACTAGAATAAATTACTTCTGTTTTTCAAACGTGTGCATTTTATAGATTCTATTTGATTGAAAAAATACAAAAAATCCTCAAAAAAAAATTAGTAGTTTGCTTGCATGCATTTTCATCGTCGTGTATTGATGTAAAAAAAATGTGTAAATGAAAATTTAAATAGAATTTAGAAAATAATAATTTTGTTTGTGATGCTTCTTGAAAAAAATGTTAAAGGAAGCATCACAAACTAATTTAGTTTAATTTTTTAAGATATTTTTATATAAACTATTTGATATAGGCCAAAAAATGCGAGAAAATTGTTCTAAATGGCCGAAAGGGCTTAAAATTGAATTCTTGTAAGAAGAAAAAAAAACTTGCTAGAAATTTTCAAGGATTTTTGAAATAGCAACATGTGAACTTTCTATGATTTGTGCTTCACATTTTGCTGTTTTGTCAGAAAAATGCTTGAAAAAATACTTTTCAAAAAAGTTGCGACTGTAAAGTAATTGCATAATGATGCCTTAGGGGTTGTTCATCATTGACGAATGTAAAATAATTGAATTTTTAAAGTTTTTAAGATCAGAGAATCTTCAGTATTTTGAAGTCTCGAAATTTAGAAACGTCATAAATGAATGATCCCAGTTTAAAATGGAGTTGAATTTTTTGAAAATTATGGCATAGAATTAATGAAATTCAGACCTAGGAAATCTTCAAAAAATTCCATTCCGAAAAACGAAAAATTGCTGGAACTTCCATTGAATTTCCAGCAATTTTTCAATTTTTTCTCATTCGAATGAGAACATAAATCTTTCAATTTATGGAAGTGCAACAAATCGTCTGTAAACAATAATTTTTATACTTATGAAAGTTGAAACAATAATGATAATAATTTTATAAAGTCGTTCATAAATGAAGTCATCGAGAGTTTGAATCTTTAGACCTTTCTTCCTTACTTATATGAATGATATGTAAGAGTGTGTCTAAGGATTCAATCTCCTGAGAGACTTCATAAGTGAATGACTCTCAATAAGGAAATTTTAAGCCTTTAGAAAGACTATGAATGTACAATTACGCTTATTCAGACAATCAGATAACGATTAAGAAAATTTTTTGTATGTCATCTGACTTTTATACACAACAAAAACAAACTTGAAATATTCTGTGTGACTTATGATAATAGGAATCCAATATATGCCATATGTAAATGAATGCTTATGTCTTAAGATTTTGCACAATAATTCTGTGGAATACGCTTCTTTTGGAAATTTTTTACTGTAATATATTTAAAGTGAAATTTCTACTTCCACAATTGTGATCATTTTAAGCGAGCATTCATATCCGATATTCAAAAGTGAGTAAAAATTTATACAAAACTGAAAAAAAGTATGACGCTTAATGAAATCATGATAGTTTGTAAGAAAAAAAAAACATTTAATACTTCTAATCAGCAAGGTTGTTCTCTAAATGTTGGATCATAAGCCAAGGACTAATCCAGTCATTCTATAAATTCTTAGTATGAAGGTTTGTCAGCTGTCAAGCCTAAATTTGTCACACGAGATGTTCATTATGTTAGCAAAATTTGTATTTATGACGTAGATGCTAAGGTTAATGAACTGCAGATTGACTGGAATAGAGAATAAATTTGCTGATAACGCATTTTCTCAGCGGTGTAAAATTTCAAAAGTTTAGATTTGGCAATCAATGTTGTTTAAATCCTTGGATTATTATTCAAATCCTTGGAATTATTTTTATGATCTAAGGATTAATTTTAGATCCACAAATTTCTACCCTCTGAAATTTCACATTGCTTATTTATGTTGGAATCAGAAGCTTCTAGTGATTGTCAGTATTGCCTTATTTACAATTAGGTATGCAAAGCCACCTGGTAATAACTAGTAGCTCCTGACTCTAGCAAGTTTGTTATGATTGTAAGAAATTTAACATTTTTTTATTGAATGACTAATACATTTTTTATCGCACAAGTTAATATTTTGATATGAAAATATTTTTTTATAAATCATAAACAGTTGGAAGTTGTTTTGTAAATATACAATTTTTTGGGTTTGGTTTCTACCCCAAATAACATGCTACATAAACATTACTGAAATAAAAATAATGCAATAAAATACAAACATTTTTGATGTCAATTCCTTTATTTAAATTTTTTCAGGGTTTTTTGATTTATTTTAAAAATTACAAAAATAAGCTCAATCGATTTATTTACTAAGTGTCAAAAAGGATCGAAAGTAGTCATGCAGTGACTAAGTATCTATTTTAAATCTGTCTTAAAGTTCTAATTACAAATTAATGAATTTCTATGAATTTTCTTTTGAACAAAAATTGTGTTCCTTTGTGCTGTTTATGGAGTTTTTGTAAATGCATTAATTGGTAGTGTAAAAGATTGTCTGATGAGGATGAGAATGTGATTATGAATCTATGAAATTTTGAATGATCTTTTTGCTTAAAAGAGCTGAATACTATTGATATTTATGAATTTTGACAGAGGATCAATATGCTCTAAAGTAATCTAATCTCTCAAAACAGCTCAATGTAAAATTATTGTCAAAAGATAAATTCTGTCTACAAAATAATACTTTTAGATGGTAAAACATAAGAGTAAGGAAAAACTACAAATCTAAATAAGATGCAGGATTCTTGCGGACCCTCAAACTCCTTAAGGCTAAACTTATTCCTAAAAAGCATAGGTTAGCTTATATACAAGAGAAAGCATTGAAAATAGAATTTATATTACTATTTACATCTCTTTCTAATTATTTGCACAATTTGGCCTAAAAATTTGTTCCTTATAATTAAACATTCAGTTGGACGGAGCACTGATAATTGGAGACGAAGACAAAATACATACAGTTAATCTTGAGATTGAAGATTAAAATGCTTGTTTTGGACTTAGCAAATCTTTCTATCATCCCAAGATTAAAATTTATCATCTAGTTCTTAACAATATAATTCCTTCATCTAATAAATTTACAATTCGAAGGATTTAGCTTGACTTTAATCTTAATAAATAATAAAACCATGGAATGTCTAAAGTTTTGTGATAAATAACAAAGGCACTATGTGCATCAACTTTGTTTAACAACATAAAATCAATTTTATATCCTAAAAAGTAGTGACGGATCTGCGAAATGGAAATTATTTCATTTTTATATTAAAAATTATGTACATAACCTTACTGAACACTTAATCTAAGATTAGACAAAAATTAATCAAAGATTAGATTTAACCTTAATTTCTACAATTTAATTCTACACTTCTGTCTGTGGAATTCCACCATCTAGAATTGTTCGACTTGATTTAATATTTCTAGGATTTCTAACTTGTGGCACTGGACTACTGGTAATATAATCTTTCTTTATAGTGGACGATGACGTTGATGTACTAATGACTGATGCTTTATCTGTTGGTTCTGATTTATCTGATTTTACATCAATTTCTCTCTCTGAATACTTCTCCTTCTTGTCGAACGTCCTGAAATCTTTCGATGACGCTGACTCCTTCATTGAGATCGCACTTTTCAAGGAACTTTGACTTCCTGACACTTTTGTTGTATTTGTCATTTGAGTCATTCCAATTGAGCTTGGTGAACGAATGGAATTGAAATCGCTTTGTGACTTCTTGACTGGTGAATCTTTATATTCATAGATATTATCACGAGATCTTAATGGCTGTGATTGTGCTATATGATTGTCCACGCCAGCATTAAACTCACTCTCCGCAGAAGGTTCGTCGAAAAACCTCTCCGATTCCCTGCAATTAAGAATCAAGTTTATTGTAAGTTTTAATGGACATTTATGTTAGTGCAGGATATGAAGTGGAACCATTAGAATAATTTTGCATGCATTCAAATAACTACTTAAAAACCACCAGAAAAGAATAAAAAGCCTCTAATGATTCCTACCTCCGTTTCATACCTCTTTGCATTTCGCCATAAAATACAGCACATGACGAGGAGGATGAGCAAAATTAGACATGCTATCGTCATGCTCCAAAAAGCAATCTGAAGTGGCTCCTTCGGCTCCCACCAGAATTCCGTGCTTGGAGGATATGTAGGAACAAGCATTCCGACCACACTTGGAATATACTGAAATAAAAAGAAACAGATTAGCTTTAAGTCGGCAAAAGTCACAAGCCATGACCTACCTCACTCCAAAAGGCATTCTCAGTTTGACGATAATTTAAAAGAATCGAGGAATTGTAAGTTGTGTTGATGTTTAAATACCTCAGTTCTCCATGTATGGCTTTATCGAAATGAAGACCTAAAATCTCACCCAACTGTGTGGGATTTCCATACCTCGCAAAATCTGTATAAGATTTCATGAAGAAATGACTCATATTTCTGTCATTATCTGTCCACATTGTGCGCTCAAGTCGAAGCTTCTTTGGAAAGAACTCAACATCCATAAATGGCGCTCCAGTAAGGAAGAAATATTCATTATCATGAGCATATTTCCTCCATTCTGGAAGTTTGAATGCTTCGATTGTTGTATTGAGGACATAATAATAAACTGGAACTTTCCTCTCAACCAGAAGCTTCACCATTTTGTCTGTTGGTGCTCGAATGAGGAAATCTGAAAGCCACTGCAAGATAATGGTTAAATTAGGAATTTCAATCCTCAAAAAAAGCTAGTTTTAATGACTCACATGAACATACTGATCCCTTATATGAGTTTTGTTGTTAGGATCTGGCCAATATGTATACATGAACTTAATTGCTTCATAACTGCCATTCAGATTGAGTGTATAATTATACCGCAGCACAAACTCTTTTATTTTCTGATCCATAAACGCCCAGTCAACCTCAAACCTAGGACTTAGTGACTCATTTTGGTCTGTAAAAAAGATAACGTCAATATTTTTTTACAAATTTAAGTCATGCATCAACCTACATATCAAATAAGCTGCTTCTTGTGTTGTTACACCAGTCATGTAATGCAATCCTCGATTATACAACTTCCTTCTGACAAGATCTTCAGGCTTCTCATCCAAAAAATGCCAATCGGCTTCATGCCATCCATCAAACCAATCATCACCAGGGAATGTAAAGTTTGTATCCATGACTGGCCCCCAAGGGTATAAACCAACATGTGGTTGGAACTCAGCATTGCCTAGTTCATAAATTGATCTACTTTTTGAAAGGCAATTTACAAGCTTCCATGATGAATCTATGGGACATCCAACTAACTGACCAAACACTCGACTTGTATTTTGTGCACGATATCTATCAACAATAAATGCCTGATCGGCAAGAGCTGAACCTGATTGCGCGATTACTTTTGTAACAATATCTCGAGTTCTTGGTGCCACCATCAAAATTCCAGCTGCTGCGGCTCCAGCATCAGGTCCAAATAGTGTTATAGACTTTCTATCTCCATTGAAGTAGTCGATGTTATGGTAAACCCTGCAATATTTAAAGAATTTAAGTATAGGATGGAAGGTTAATGAATATTGCCAGCTTACCATTCAACAGCAGAGACCATGTCAAGAATTCCATAATTTCCTGGACTGTTGTCATCGCCAGTTGATAAAAATCCTAAAGCTCCTAATCTATAATTAAAAGTGACTACGACAACCTCATAGAAAGCAGCCATGACATGTGCTGGAAATAAGTTGGAAGCTCCATGAACGAAATCTCCACCGTGAATGTAAATCATGACTGGGTACTTTTGAGCTACACCAGCTTTAGTCTGATAGGAATAAAAATTATTAAAACTAAGTCGTTTAATGTCAATGAATCAACTTACATTAGGTGAGTAGACATTCAAGTATAGACAATCTTCATCCATATCCCGAACACCTTTTGTTGCTCCAACATACTCAATTGGTTGAGGACAAGCTGGACCGAAATCAACAGCTTGTAGCAATTGCCAACCTCGATGAACTCTTGGTGGCTTAAATCGACCCTCATAAATTGGCGGGAGTGAGTATGGAATACCCAAAAATACAGAACAATCCTTAAATATTCGATCAACATTTTGATGCCATGGACGAAAGTATGAATTTGGATCTGGATTATCATACAAATGAACTTTAAATCCTTGAACTTCTCCATAATTTGTCATTACGAAGACATCACGATCTAAAAGTAAACTGTCTCTCCTTAATTTTCCTTGAAGATCTTCACGGAATCCACCAAGAACTCCAGGAAATGGCGTTTGTGGATTATTGGGGTTAAGCTATTAATAAAAGGCAACAATTAATTAATAAATTGACCTAGTGACATGAAAAGTTGTTACAATACAATTGAAATCGAGAGTTCTTACATAATGTAAACATTCATTAACGCGCACATTATCTTGTAACTGCAAATCATACTCATTTTTCATTCAACAATTTGCATTCATTCATTCGTCACATATGTTGCTCGTTTTGCATTGTTTATATGAAAATGTGCAGTAAAAGATGTAATTGAAGTGTTTTTAAAGAGAATTCTTGAATCTGAGCTGAACCGAGTAGTTCAAAACCGTATAAATTTAAAACCATTGCAACAAACTGTTGTATGGCTTTATTTCAAAATTTCAAATACTTTTATAACGGAAAACTTAAATTGCTATTTTACTGAATACTCAATTTGTTTTAAGAAGCAACAGCGAATTCTTTGTTAATGACTTCATCTTCATCTTGAAAAACATCCTAGCACCAAAGCTAGTAATTATTTACTCTTCACACATGACAATTTCTCGGTTTTTTTCATTCATAAATATTTCTCCCATTTATAAACTTACAAACAAGCATACTTAATTGTTTAATTTACTTAAACAATTGACATTGTACTATCAAATTAATTAATCTTCTGTTAATTAACAGTAAGTCAGTTGCAAAAAGCATTAATTGTTATAAATTTTATTAATTTACTTACTGGATCGTGTTTGAACTTATCATCACCAAGTCCAGTGTTTCCTGGGTATTGATCTGGTTGATACTGTCCTGGATATTGACCATAGCCACTTGGTTGATAATATCCATAACGACGATTCCCATAAACGTATGTTCTACAAAAAAAAATTATGGATTTTGATGTCAAAAGATTATTAATGAGTCTGTTGGATTGGCTGGTGCCGTAGATAGAGTATTTAAATTTTTTTAAGTCGTAGACAGAGTATTTAATTTTATTCAAGTCCAACCAGCACAACAAATCTATTCTTCAATAGTTAAAAACAATTAAAGAACAGTTCATTCAACTGAAAAAAGCATTATTAGACACTGCAGGCATTTCCCATGTCATCAAGTCACCCAGTAATTTTAGAAACTTTCTACACAATTCTCCGTAACTGACCATTCACTCTACCTCTTGAACTCATAGAAAAGCCAGCATTTAAATGAAAAACGTGACAATTTCTGAGCGGTGTGAGACCGTAAACAAAAATAACAGCAATTAAATGCTGAAATTCCATAACATAACTTTTTTTTGTTGTCGTTTCTTCTCCACACATACTTCTCAAGTCACACAGTAATGATCTTGAGTCAAGAAAGCTTAAACATCACACAAACACTATTAAAGCTGCAACAACAAGAAAAGCTTAAGTTGTAGATGAAAAATTTCTCTTTATGGGACTCAAGAATTTCATCTAAAATGCGCAATATAAATTGCATGTAATTTCCATTGCATTTATACATCTGCAGATTATTATAAATTTAAATGAAAGCTCTTTGTTCAAGCCATAATAATCATTAGTATGTAGCACAAATGCCCCACCCAATTAAACAGTCTGATGATGCTCATTATGACAGTTGGATGTGATTATCAACAAGAAGATCAATCAGTTCTGAATATGACACTTACCTATACTCTTTATCGCCAGGATCTCTTGGTCTGTAATCTTCTCCAGGTCTTGAATACCATCTTGGATCACGATCTTTCAAGTATGGATTTTGTGGATACAATTGTGCATATGTAAAGGCAAATAATGCACAAAAACTTAACATGAACACTAACTGGACATTATTTGTCACATGTCTCGTCTTTTTGTACACTTTTGTGTTATTAAAATGCGATTTTAGGCTATCGCTATGGCAACAATTTGTTTTGCATGTCGCCATTTTTAAAAATTTTATTTTGTTTTATTTTTTTCGTTTTCACTACATCGAACTTTTAAAGTTGCTCGTTTCCCAACCGTTCACAACGAAATCAAAACACAAATTGAGAAGAAAGAGAAGTGAAAAAAAACTTGATTTTTTTTTGCTCGATTGCCGTTGTTTAACGTCTTAAGCTACAGTGTTTAACACACATACGAGTATACGCGCGCGCGCATGCTACAATGTTGCTAATAAAGTAACAGAATACACCTTCGCAGGTGCTGTGTAATACACAAATTATGTCGGTGCAAGTGAATTACATTCGATGTCGTCACGAATGTTTTTACTATCATTTGAAGAACTCGGTGATCGCGAGTTCATGTTATGGATATGCTTGTATTGTGCAATACTGAAAATGATGAATGAAACTGAAAACTACACGACTGCTAATTGGATACAAATGTGATAAAGAGCGGCTTTGATGTTCATTAGACTTGTTCTTTCTCTCTTTGATGAATCAGTTGTGTGACTGTGACGATGAATGCTGTAAGAATTGAGATGAAAAAAATAATTTAATTAAGTGAAATTGAGTCTAATTGATTATGCGAGATCATGAAATATAAAACATTTTAATGGCATTTTACTGGATGATTCAAATTGAAGGAACAAGAGAAATTTGACTTGATTTGAGCTGGCAATTTATGAATTGATTGGATGTTAATTTAATTGATTAGATATTGAACTTGCTATCAAGCTAGCAGAATGTCATCTTAAAGTTTTAGTCAGATTTGAATATTGTCGTTGATCTGGCTTCTTAGGAAGCTCCAATATAAGTACATTTGGTTAACAATCTTTTACATAGATTCAGCTCTTGCTTTTGACAACTTCCAAAATAAAATAAAAGAGCAAACTAATTCCAAAAGACTTGTCTGTCGAATGACTAATCGTAGCCTCGACATTCTTAAATTTCTTTCTCGAGAACTTGAAATCTTAAACCTTCACATTCATATCCAATTATTTGATAAAAAAGACATAGACACTGCATTCTTCATTTAATTCTTTCCATATTGACTAATTTCCATTTAAACTAGTGTATCGGGTAGAACCCCAATGCGGATTATATTCACACCGTACTATCATAAGTCTTATGGATAGACCAAGATTTGCCCATCATAAGTATGAAGGTATGAAGCTTCATAAGTCAACTAAGCTTCGCTCAGCATAAGTTTGAAGTTATAAAGCTATCGCGTAAGCTGAGCTACGCTCAGCATAAGTTTGAAGATATGAAGCTAGAGAGGCAGCTGAGCTTCGCTCAGCATAAGTTTGAAGTTATAAAGCTATCGCGTAAGCTGAGCTACGCTCAGCATAAGTTTGAAGATATGAAGCTAGAGAGGCAGCTGAGCTTCGCTCAGCATAAGTTTGAAGTTATAAAGCTATCGCGTAAGCTGAGCTAAGCTCAGCATAAGTTTGAAGATATGAAGCTAGAGAGGCAGCTGAGCTTCGCTCAGCATAAGTTTGAAGTTATAAAGCTATCGCGTAAGCTGAGCTAGGCTCAGCATAAGTTTGAAGATATGAAGCTAGAGAGGCAGCTGAGCTTCGCTCAGCATAAGTTTGAAGTTATAAAGCTATCGCGTAAGCTGAGCTACGCTCAGCATAAGTTTGAAGATAAAAAGCTAGAGTGTCAGCTGAGCTACGCTCAGCATAAGTTTGAAGATATGAAGCTAGAGAGGCAGCTGAGCTTTGCTCAGCATAAGTTTGAAGTTATATAGCTATCGCGCAAGCTGAGCTACGCTCAGCATAAGTTTGAAGATATGAAGCTAGAGAGGCAGCTGAGCTTCGCTCAGCATAAGTTTGAAGTTATAAAGCTATCGCGCAAGCTGAGCTACGCTCAGCATAAGTTTGAAGATATGAAGCTAGAGAGGCAGCTAAGCTTCGCTCAGCATAAGTTTGAAGTTATAAAGCTATCGCGTAAGCTGAGCTACGCTCAGCATAAGTTTGAAGATATGAAGCTAGAGAGGCAGCTGAGCTTCGCTCAGCATAAGTTTGAAGTTATAAAGCTATCGCGTAAGCTGAGCTACGCTCAGCATAAGTTTGAAGATATGAAGCTAGAGAGGCAGCTGAGCTTCGCTCAGCATAAGTTTGAAGTTATAAAGCTATCGCGTAAGCTGAGCTAGGCTCAGCATAAGTTTGAAGATATGAAGCTAGAGAGGCAGCTGAGCTTCGCTCAGCATAAGTTTGAAGTTATAAAGCTATCGCGTAAGCTGAGCTAGGCTCAGCATAAGTTTGAAGATATGAAGCTAGAGAGGCAGCTGAGCTTCGCTCAGCATAAGTTTGAAGTTATAAAGCTATCGCGTAAGCTGAGCTAGGCTCAGCATAAGTTTGAAGATATGAAGCTAGAGAGGCAGCTGAGCTTCGCTCAGCATAAGTTTGAAGTTATAAAGCTATCGCGTAAGCTGAGCTAGGCTCAGCATAAGTTTGAAGATATGAAGCTAGAGAGGCAGCTGAGCTTCGCTCAGCATAAGTTTGAAGATAAAAAGCTAGAGTGTCAGCTGAGCTACGCTCAGCATAAGTTTGAAGATATGAAGCTAGAGAGGCAGCTGAGCTTCGCTCAGCATAAGTTTGAAGTTATATAGCTATCGCGCAAGCTGAGCTACGCTCAGCATAAGTTTGAAGATATAAAGCTAGAGTGTCAGCTGAGCTACGCTCAGCATAAGTTTGAAGATATGAAGCTAGAGAGGCAGCTGAGCTTCGCTCAGCATAAGTTTGACGTTATATAGCTATCGCGCAAGCTGAGCTACGCTCAGCATAAGTTTGAAGGTATAAAGCTTGACGAATATGCCAAATATTCTTCAAAAGTTTTTTAAAAAAAATTTTCATCCAAAGTTGAATTTTATAAAAATCACAGTCAACTTTTGTTTTAAAAAATTCGTAAGAAAGGAAAGTTTTTTGCCATTTCTGAAGCAACGGCTGTTCCTACCTTGCCCAAAAACAATACAGCTTTTCTATAGAGCAGCAATGTAAAAAAACTAGAAGTCTCTACGATGTCTCGTTATTGAGATTTCTTGCTGATTAACTTGCTTGCTTGCTTGTTTGCTTACAGAAAGCGTATTTTGCGATTTTCTCAGCAATGCCACAACCAATTTGAAATCTGTTTTTTGAAAATGATGTAAAATTTCAGGCACAAACTTTTCTTCTTGCCCTTTTATAACCAATTTTGCTTTGTTTTCTCACAAAATGCGAAAAACTGATTTTTCAATCTGAACAAAACCAATAGATTCACACGTGAAAACGGTGTGAATATAAAAAAAACATTTCTTTTTGATAAGCATTTAATGATGTTAATGGAACCTTGAAATTTCATGTTTACTATCAATTTTTTAATGTAACGCAACATAAGCATGTCATTGTCACTTTCATTGATAATTTTACTTCACTTTCTTTTCAATCACAAATTTGTTTGTCTCGGTTCTTAGCTATTGATTATTTTCAGGGACTTTATTTCCCTTTACACTATCAAATTGAAACTATTTCGTGAATGAATCATCAAACCGCACCCCGAAATGCATGTTGTAGAACTTTACGTGCATGATATAATATAATTATTAAAGACGGACAGTGGTCTTCATTATCTTTAATGAATTGGAAGTTTTTGGTGGGATTTTGACGTGGTTTTTGTTTTTGGTAAGGAAGTAATGGATTGTAAAGCTAAAATAGTGTAATTTTACGTTAGTAACAAAGATGTTATACCAAAAAACTATCCAAGAACCGAAAATGAACAAAGGTTAAGCATAAATATTGCAAAACAGCTTGAATCGATTCCCAAATCATTAACAACTTTCAAGGAGGTGTATGAGCCTGAACTAATGCGACTGATTACAATTTAGGTAAGGATTGTTAGTCATTTATGATTGACTTCAAAACAGATTTGTTTATTTGAAAATCTTTGAAGCAATAGCCAAAAAAAAATGAAATTAGAGCATATTTGCGGTTTTCATTGTTGATTCTTATCTTCCTCAATGTTTTAATGGTAATTTGAACTGCCGCAAGATATAGTTCTCTTTAAAATTTCAGAACGACTTCTATATGTTTGAGTTATAATATGAGAATTTAAAGATAGTAGCTTGAAGGATGATTTTTGATAATATTCTGAATTAGTTCAGCTGAAAGCGTTAACATGATAGTTTTTTTCATTCGGTGACCATGCCTTTTTAAGCTGCTTTGAAACATTTTGTCAAGGCTTGGAAACTCAGGATTAATCCTAAAAAAGCCCTGAGCCAATAAACATGAAAATGTGAAATCTCTTTTAAATCCCGAAGTCATTTATCAAATGCATCAGGGATTTAAAAGGGATTTCACATTTCCATGTTTATTGGCTGAGGGATTTTTCAGGATTTTTCAATTTCAATCATGAGTTTCCACGCCTTGCATTTTCTTTTTTTTTCAATAACTTTATCATCTTAGACTTCTAATAATACCTTATATCCATAATTTTCAAAGCTACTTAGAAAATGCAATCGACAAAGTCTGACTCATACCAAATTTTCAGAATATTTCAAAATGACAACAGTTATTAATCTTACGTGCTGATAACTACAACATTACACGAATTGCGATATCCTACAAAGCAAATAAATGCTTTACTTTATTTTTCTATTCGTAGTAAGAAGTCATAAAATGATGTTCAATATTGAGTTTGATATGAAGTTTGAAGCTGTCTGCTAGCTTCTTGTATTACCAAACACTTTAGACTCTCTCAACCTTAAAACACAATATCTCCAAAAGAAGACACGACTACTTCCTCTGAGAATTTATTCAACCTTATTCAACTGAGTAAACCTAGCTGATGAAACCTAGCACATGTACAGATTATTAATATTCACCTCAAAAACTTTCTTCTCTTCATTTTTTTTGAGTAACACGACTTGTTCCGGTAAACAGTTCCAACTGACTGACGACCATAAGCATTAACATGAGCAAAATTTTATTCTTATACCCCATCAATTTCCAATACAAATTCACTTATCACCTTTTAATGATCTCTGTCTAAGCTATATTCACTACAAGTCATTGTCGGAACATTAACATATAGACATCGCTAACATTTATGTCTACATCAAACATTTCTAATGACTCGTGTGTTTCTTATCGTCAAAATTTCGACATCATCATTTATTTTAATTATGTTGTAATTTAAATGTCCTCAATAAGCTCCA